TATTGATTTCAGAGAGGAAGGGAGAGGGAGAGAAAGAGAAACATCCATGATGACAGAGAATCATGGATCGGCTGCCTCCTGCACGCCCCCTACTGGGGATGGAACCCGCAACCCGGGCATGTGCCCTTGACCAGAATCAAACCCGGGACCCTTCAGTCCGCAGGCCGATGCTCTATCCATTGAGCCACACCGCCTCGGCTGGTGTAGACATTTTGATGGTAATTTAGTATCCAAACGAAGAGGGCGGTCCATTCACTTCCTTATCTAAAACCTGTCCTACAACAGTATGGGCCGTTTTGTAGAAAGATGTCTTCCAGATGTCGGCCGAAGCATCTGTGTGTCATGGCCAAACAATTCCAATCAATCAAATGTGCAATGGAAGGAGGAGCTACGTGGCCCAATGAAACAGAATAAATGGAATCTTATGCTTTAAGATGGGGGACATGCTTATATGTAATGTATAAGTCGGAGAAGCCAGTTCCCAGAGAACATGTCTGGTATGCTAGCGAGAAAGCACCTCTCCGCCGTTTACCCCCCCAACACACACGCGCGGCTTTGGGTTGTAAATCCGTCTTGCAAAACGCAACGAGAAACATCTGCCAGGCACACATCACTCTGTGTGTGGTCTCCACCCTCCCGCAGAACAGGAAACGGGGCTGTCTGCTGAGAACGGGGGGCGGCTGTTCCAAGCATCGTCCGTTCGGGGAGACAGGTTCTGGCTGCAGCTGTGTGTGGGGAACAGGAAGTGGGCGGGCTGGACGCTGCCACACCTCACTGAAGGCTCGGGCTGGTCCCGGAGCCGAAGGTCAAGGTCGTCTTGTTTTCTCCAGCAAGAAGACTTCGATGCGGCCCGGCCGGTGTGGCTCAGGGGATAGAGCATCGGCCTGTGGACTGAAGGGTCCCAGGTTCGATTCCAGTCAAGGGCACAGGCCCGGGTTGCAGGCTCGATCCCCAGTGGGGGGTGTGCAGGAGGCAGCCGACCCATGATTCTCTCTCATCATTGATGTTTCTATCTCTCTCCCTCTCCCTTCCTCTCTGAAATCAATACAAATATATCTAAAAACCACAAAAAACCACAAATAATGTGTGATTATCAATAGTATGCATCTATCCCTGTTTCAGCATAATGTGTATTAATACGGACTAGAGGCCCGGTGCATGAATTTGTGCACTGGCCGGGGGTGGGGGGTCCCTCAGCCTGGCTTGCACCCCTTGGGGGATGTCCGCCTGCCAGCTGGGGATCGGGCCTAAGCTGGTAGTCAGACATCCCTCTCACAGTCTGGGACCCCTCGCTCCTTACCGCCCGCCTGCAGCGGAGGTGGGCAAGGCTCCTGCCACCGGTGCTGCTCTCGCCAGCCGTGAGCCCGGCTTCTGGCTGAGCGGTGCTGCCCCTGTGGGAGCGCACTGACCACCAGAAGGTAGCTCCTGCACTGAGCATCTGCCCCCTGGGGGTCAGTGCGTGTCATAGCGACCGGTCGTTCGGCTGTGTGGTCGCTTTGCATATTAGGGTTTTATTATATAGGATGTCACTGCGAGAGATCATGGTTTTACTGGGAGTCCTCAGTGAGAAGAGGAGACAGACAGGTGTCAGTCCCTGCGGGGGGCGGGGCCAGTACCTCCTGTCTTCACAGTGGGGGTCGGAGCTGTTGTGTGGACAGAGGACGGGACGCGGCTGTATCCTCACGGCGCGACCCAGGCAGTGTCCGGGACACTGGAACAAAGCACAGGGCAGTGAGCTCGAGGGGCTGCCCCCAGGCTGGTAAGGGGGTCTTGCCCCAACCACCCCGATGACCTTTGACCTTGGACCTCCGGCCTCCGGGACTGTGTGAAAACCAGTGTCTGCAGTCGGAGGTGCCCAGTCTGTCGTCTGTTGCTATGGCAACCCTAGCAGGCCACTTCAGGCCCCTACCCGTTATTTGAAACATTTTTTTGGCAAAGATTTCTATTATAATATTGCCCGGCCGGCGTGGCTCAGTGGTTGAGCGCAGACCTGTGAACCAGGAGGTCACAGTTCGATTTCCGGTTGAGGGCACAGGCCCAGGTTGTAGGCTCGATCCCCAGTAGGGGGCATGCAGGAGGCAGCCGATCCATGATTCTCTCTCATCATTGATGTTTCTATCTCTCTCTCCCTCTCCCTTCCTCTCTGAAATCAATAAAAAAAAATAATAATAGCTCTGGCTGATGCCTGGCTGGTTTGGCTCAGTAGATAGAGCATTAGCCTGTGGACCGAAGGGCCCCGGGTTCAATTCCCGGTCACGGGCACATACCACGGTTGCAGGCTTCTCCCCGACCTGGGCCCTCGTCCGGGGTCCCAGGTTTGATTCTGGTCAAGGGCATGTACCAGAGTTGCAGGCTCCTGCCCAGCCAGGCCCTCATCCAGGTGCAGGCAGGAGGCAACCCATCGATGTGTCTCTCTCACATCGATGTTCCTCTCTGTCTCTCCCTCTCTCTTCCATTCTCCGGTTCAATTCCCGGTCACGGGCACATACCACGGTTGCAGGCTTCTCCCCGACCTGGGCCCTCGTCCGGGTGCAGGCAGGAGGCAACCCATCGATGTGTCTCTCTCACATCGATGTTCCTCTATATCTCTCCCTCTCTCTTCCTCTCTCCCTAAAAATCAATGGAAAAATATCCTCGCGTGAGGATTAACAAATAATAATAATAACAAAATGGCCGTTAATAAAGACCTGTACAAAGCCACAGACCTGAATTTCGTGCATCGGGCCTCTAGTAATAATAATAAAATGGCCATTAATAAAGACCTGCACAAAGCCACAGACCCGGGTCAGAAACTTTAAAAAAAGAAAGAAAAGGAAACATTAAAAAAAATCAATTAGAGCCCTAGCTGGTGTCGCTCAGTGGATAGAGCCTTGGCCTGTGGACTGAAGGGTCCTGGGTTCGATTCCTGGTCAGGGGCACGTGCCCGGGTTGCAGGCTCAATCCCCAGTGTGGGGCGTGCGGGAGGCAGCCGATCCGTGATTCTCTCTCATCATGGATGTTTCT